GGCTGTGCCTAGAACTGCACATAACATCTTAGGTGTAAAATGTTGAGCTCCTAGTGTTAAGAATTAAATAAAACAGGGATTATGACTGATGAGTTGAGCAGAATTTACCGAACAGATGGTAATGCGGCAGACATCGCTGTTTGTACCAGCTTACACGGAGGATTACAATATGAGAGCGTCCCTCAATTTATCACGCGTAATCCTTCTTTTATTTTGAAATCCACTGTCGCCATTTCCTGTTGTGCATTTGTCAATGTCAATTTTTGGATCCAGTTCATCCTCAGCAGCAGCAGCGCCTGCGTCTACACCGTGGATGCTTCCAACTCAACCAGAAGCAATGTCCGCCAGAACCGGGTGGGCGGGTTTCCTGGCCGCTCTGCTCACTTTCAGCGGTCTTTTGTTACTGCAGCACCACCGTGGCTGCACAGCTGGCAGTATCTGTCTGATTTTCTTGATCCTGCCACATAATCTCTTCAATTTAATAGGGACGCAGAGGAGCCCTGCTGCAAATAAAAGGACAAGAGCAGCCTGCATGACAAAGAAATATCATCGTATCCGTAAGGAAGTGGGAGTTTATTATTTATTTGTGTTAATACATAAATAAATAGGCAAAAAAATGTAAAAATGAATTAAAATTGAATAAAAATGTGTGCCTCATCTATACATACTACTAGTAGAACTATTTCACACTGATTTTGAGTCAGTAGGTCACATGACCCGGAAGCTATTGAAGAAAAATACTAATATTAAAATTATTTTAAAATATTGACTTAAAATGTAATAATGGACAATGTGTATCATGTAACACTTTTTGTGTCAGTTGGTCGCAAAGCAAGGCATTTGTTTACATTTGTTTGATGGGAGTGTTTGTTTCGAGAATCTGCAATAAAGGATTAAAAAAAAAAGTTCTATCAGCGATAAGCCGCTGTGATCAGTGATACGAATGGTAGATACCAACCTACTGAGCCTCCCAGGAGGCACAGGAGGGACCGACCGTCTGAAGCCATTCAACGGGGCTGATAACATCCGAAGCCGGTGCCTCTTTCAGCTTCGTTGTACAAACCAATTCAAATCCAGTTTATTAAACATTTCATGTTTATACACAGTAAGGGTTGACACCATTCGTATTTTCTCATTGATAATGATCTATTTTGAATATCGACAATTTTTTTTAACTCTTCTGGACAGATTGCAGTTTTCTTTTTTACAGAGTATATAAACCCTGAAAAAGTGTTAAAATCAACTCTGTGGGAGTTAAATCAACACTGGGCTTTTTGCTGTGCACAGTGTTTGGGAGGCATCCTAAGGGGGGAACAAATCAGGCCATGTGGATTTTGGTCAGGCGGAGATTTGTATTGACTTTTCAAGTGAGATAGAACCTCATTGTTTAGGAACAGTAAGTGATGTCATGGGGACAAAGATCATGACATCACTCATGACTTTGTGATGTCATACTCAATGGCTTTGAATATGACAAAGACACTGATGATAACTCAGACTTCCAAGGAGTTCCAAGATAGATTACGTTCTGTGAAAATTTGTCCGGAGACTTAAAACGATTGCTATACAAAAGGAAAATGAAACGTTCAGCAGAAGATTTGCAAACCAAGGCCAGGTCGGATCAACAAACTGACAATGATCCCCAAACCCAAAAGAAACTCATGAAAAATGAGGGTGAGAGAGCCAGAGATGCAACAAGACCATCCATACAGCAAAGAGGCAATTCTCCTTCCAAAGACAGAAAACAACATACTGAAAAGGATTTACAACTAGAAAACATATCCCTGCAGAAGGAAGTGAAAGTGTTAGAGGTAAAAAATTTTAATCTTTCTAATAAATGTAAAGGGTTTTTGACCAAACTTCAGGAACGTGATGCTAGAATTCAGACTCTAGAAGATCAGTTAAAAACCATGAAATCTAGTCTTGCAGAGAAGACAAATTCTCTGATGCTTGCAACAGCACAAAGACGAGATTTGACTGATAGATTGGCAGCAATGAAGCTCTACAAAGATAGAGCATTGATCGCTGAGAAACAAGTCTCAGAGCTCACCGATGACAACCAAAAATTGAAAGTACAACTAGACTTCTCTCATCAAAAAGCAAGCGCATTTAAAGATGAATCAGAGGCCCACAAAGAAGAGCTTTATAAGCAGTCAGATCTCTTGAAAACTAAAGAGAACACAATTAGCCATCTTAACATCGCATTGGATGTAAAACAAAAGCAAATCGATGCTCAGACAGAGGAACTTAAGAGACAACGCAAACTTGCAGAAGAGACAGAAGTTGAGGCGAGAAGAAATCGCCTAAATGAAGAAACATCAATGAAACGATTAAAGCGAAAAGATGAAGAAAATTTGAGCCTACGAAAGGAAGTCACGGGACTAAAAAAGGCTTTGAGTGAAACTGAGATGAAGTTGTCAAAACTAGATGTGAAATTCCAATTCCTCCAGGAACACCTTAAAAGTGCTCACACAGAAAAAACAGGCCTGCTGAAAGAAAAACGAATTCTGGAACATTCTTTAGCTAATTATGAGAAAGAGATTATCGAAACACAGACAGTCCTGCAAAAGTTCCAGCAAGACAATAAGTTTCTTAAGGATCAAGTGGAGCAGCTCAAGGCAAAGCTGGCTGACGAGATTCGTAGCAGCAAGAAAAATAAGATAAAATTTGAAAAAGACCTCTTGCAGAAACAGGAAGAATATACCAAACTAAAGACGCAGACAGAAGACACTCTGGCAAAGAACAGGAGAGCTACAGAAGCAATTTTCTATAGTGAGAGAAAAACTGGAATACTGGCAGACACAATCCGCGAACAGGAATGTAAGATTATAGAGCTATCTAAGGAAGTTCTAAGACTCCATGAGAATGAACAGAAATTTAAAATGGTTAAAGAAACATATTCTAAGGTAGAAAGGCTATGGATGGATGAGGATAAAGGAGATCTTATAATTCTCCCAGATGACGACACAAAAAATGAGAAACTCAGAATGTATCGATCTGAGATCCACAGATTGTCCACAAAACTGAAAGAGAAGGAAGGAGAAATTAAGGATCTCAAGCTTGAGGAGGAGAAGCTGCAGCAAGTGCTGAAAAATCTCAAGTGTAAGTTAGACCTACTGCCAGAAGATACATTGCATAGAGTGCAGGAGAGTCAGATCACTGCTAAAGCTCTCAGAAGACAGATCAAAGCCCTAGAGAAAGAGATAAGTGTACTTTTAACAAAAATAAAGACGCAAGAGGACAACATCACAGGGTTGAAAAATAAAATTTCAGATATCTCATTTTCACAGAAGGATAAAATTCCGCCAATTCAGTCAAATAATATCAAACTGAAATCTGAGGACACAGACCCAAAGCCGACGAAATCCCAAAATATTATTTATCTTCCACCTATTCATATCACTTCATGTGGAAAGACAAAATCAAAATATCTCCACAGACGGTCAAAATGAAGTTTTCTTTTTGACAGGGGGACCGTTGTCAAGGTTTGATTTGTTTCTCTAAAGTGTCCCTAGGTGTGTGTGAGTGTGTGTGTATGAATGGTTGTTTGTCCTGTCTGTCTCTGAGTTGCCCTGCGACAGACTGGTGACCTGTCCAGGGTCACCAGCAACCCTCCTGACCCCACTAGGGACAAGAGTGTGCAGAAAATTGATCGATGGGTGGATTTTGACAGGGGGAGCATTTTATTGACTTTTCAAGAGGGGTGGTTGACCCTCTGTATTTGTGGGTGGCTCCTGCATGACATGTAGGGACCAATCAGGTCCTGTGGATGGATTTTGGTCATTGGCAGCATTTTATTTACATGTCAAGAATGTAAATACATTCTTGACATGTATTTTCATGTATTGGGGAGGGAGGGGGTCCTGCAAGATGTTTAGGGACACATTGGGCCATATGGGTGGATTTGGGTCAGGAGGAGCATTTTATTGACTTTTCAAGAGGGGTGGTTGACCCCCACTATTTGGGGAAGGTGGGGCTGCAGGACATGTGGGGACAAATCTGATCTTGTGGGTGGATGTTGGTCAGGAGGACCATTGTATTGACATTTCAAGAGTGTGGTCAATGCTTGCTGTTGGGGTAGGGGTCCTGCAGGACATGTGGGGACAAATCGGGTCTTGTGGGTGGATTTTGGCCTTACAGATCCCGGTCTCCGTAAACCAGATCCTTTGAAGGCCGTGAATAAACAAAGACCAGATGAGAAAAGCTGTGAATTCGGACAGGTCTAGCTTCCACCTACTGTCCCCGCCCCCACCTTGGCGTAACTTATGTTGCCTTGCAACTTTGACAGCTTGAAGCAGAGCGTCAAAATGAAGTTTTACAAGGATTTTAAGGCAACCCTGGGTGGTCAACCCTCTGTGATTGGGGAAGGTCCTGCAGGACATGTAGGGTCAAATTGAGCCCTACAGCCCTCCATACCCTGATAGGACAGATTTTTGACAAGGGGACCATTGTATTAACTTTTCAAAAGATGTTGTGGGCTGCACAGTAGCACAGTTGGTTGCACTGTTGCCTTGCAGCAAGATGGTCCTGGGTTTCATTCCTGACTCAGGGTCTTTCTGCACGGAGTTTGCATGTTCTCCCTGTGCATGCGTGGGTTCTCTCCGGGTACCCCGGCTTCCTCCCACAGTCCAAAAACATGACTGACAGTTTAATTGGTCTCTCTAAATTCTCCCTAGGTGTGAGTGTGGGTGGGTGGGTGGAAGGATGGTTGGATGGAGTTTTTGTCAACACCGTCAGAAATGAAAAGAATGTAAAAAAAAATCAGGCATTATTGGGGGGCACCAGAACTTCTGACCGTGACCACTTCCTTTCTCTTCCTTTGCTAAGAGGGCTAGTTAGCTCTGGTTAGCTTATGTTATTATTTAGTTTTTTTTTTCTTTTTATTCCTAAGTTGCTTGTCACAACCATGATGTATCAACACCATAACTGACAATTTACAAAATTTGATGAAATTTTGTGAAATAAAAGCTTAATTTTGGTATACTGTAAAGATTTTATGGACCTGATGAGCTACAATATGGCCTCCTTCAGAATAACATCCTATAAATTGAGGTGGTTTGGCATTTTGTCAACTCCATCAAATGTCAACTCCATCAGAGTTTTTCTGACTCTTTCAGTGAAATTGTTGTCAAATCTCACTTAAATGTGCAATTAATTCATTTTAATGTATTTTACATGAATTGCATTACTTCACATGCACCAAGTTTTTCATTTTACTCACTAGTTTGTCACCACCTTCAGTTCTGTGTCAACTTTGTCATGCACTGTCAACTCCGTCAGATGGCCTTTTTGTTGTTTTTGGTTTTAAATAATATTTATTTTGTTTCTTGAGAAGCATTTGTCTGTAAATTGAGTAAAAATATCGCTAATAGGGTCATTAAAAATTATTTTTTATTTATTTTTGTCAGATTGTGATGACAACGTTCTGGGTCAGGTCAATTAAAAATGTAATTTTTTTTTTTTTTTAAATTACATTTTTAATCGACCTGACCTAGAATGTTGTCATCACCATCTGACAAAAATAAATCTAAAATGATTTTTAAAATACCCCATTAGTGATATTTTTACTCAATTTACAGACAAATGCTTCTCAAGAAA